ACGTCACAGTTTGTAGGGACAATCAAGGAAAAAAGGCAACCTCGTTCCAAGGCTGTCTCCTTTGCCTGGGATTGAGGTTGCAAAAAGGATGCCTTCAACCAACCTTAACTGACATTGCCTTGATGTACAAATTAAATTATTTTGGTTGAGAATGCAGGCCAGGGCTGAAAGTGTAAATTTTGATTCGGAAAAAAAAAATGGAACACAATCGCTTTTGGATTAAAAACAAAAAATTGTTTCCTTCCATAAGGAGAAAACTTTAAAAAATGGCAAAAAAACATGAAGTCTATGGCAAAAAAGCATGAAGTCTTAGGTTAAGTACAAAGGACTGAACCAAATGTGGATAAAAAAAGAAACTGTACAAACTGAATGATTTCCCTTGATCTATGTACAAGGCAAATGGGACGCATATGGAAGTATGACTGGAAAAAGACTCAGCGTGGTTAAAGTACATCCTTTTTTGCTTAATTATCCTTCTTAGACAATCCTCAGATTTATTTCATAGTTTCAATCAATACTCTTCTAAGCAGAGACAACACTGACTGATATTCAAAGGGGACAGGGCAAAAGTCCTCAAATTTGATCAAATTAAGAAAAAGCCTCACAAGAACATCACATGAATCGAGTTGTACAATAACCAGCTCTGAGCTTTCAAGTCTCAAATCTTTGCAAAAAGGTACACACTTTGCACATACTGTTAGAGCTTAGTTTGTTTTTTGTTCCACCAAGTGCCCCCAAGGAATTTCTATACCCCCTGGAGAGGATTCCCTTTTGCCCCCCACAGAATTCCTAGCCCCCTCCCCCAATGTGACTACCTCACATCCCAGGTTGGAAAAAGGCACTGCAAGAGTAAAGCGTCTTGCCCAAGAACACAACACAATGACCCAGGCAAGCAATTGAACTTGGACAGCTGGATCCAGAGCCAATGCACTTGCCATTTGAGCAATGTGCCTCTCAAATCTCAACAGTGACACCAAAAACCAGTTGCTGGGAAAGGTCTTTACATGCTCACTTGGTAAACTAACGAACACAGCTTACAATGAGGCTCATTTCTTAAAACGATCAATTTTAGAAACTTAAGTCACATACCTTTTTGAACTTTTCCTTACTTTTCACTCTATCACTATATGAGAGATTTTTAAATTTTTCACGTTAAAATTTGAACTGACCAGACTAAGATTTCCTACTGTTGCAAGTGCAATGAAATGGGTAATTATGGTTACTTGGCTAAAAGTTGTACCTCAAATC